CACCACCTCCTCAGTATTACCAACCCTTATTTGGCTAGAGACTGCTGGCTTTGCCCCGCGCCCCCCCCCCACAGGACCACTCCTATTAATGGCTACTCCAGTAAACAAAACTAAACCAGGGAACTTAACAGAAAAAATAATAGGACCTGTCACGGCCAATATGCAGCTAACTAATATTGTTCCTATTTGTTTCAGCAGTACCTAGGGCCAACATCCAACAGGTCGTCTCCCAGATGATCTATGCAACTCCACTCTCCAGGTTGAAAACACCACCTACCCCTGGTGCACCCCTGCAGGAACATTCTATGTGCGTGGGACCACTGCTCACCTCTGCCTGCCTGCAAACTGGACAGGAGTATGCACTCCTGCCTACTTAACCCCAGATATGTTTATTATACCCAACAACAAATCCCTGGAGACCCCCCTTAAAGCAGTAACTAGATATAAGAGGGCTCTGCAAGTAATCCCCCTTCTAATAGTACTCGGAATTGTGGGTAGCATAGGAGCCGAGGGGGAATAAATAGTTCACTCTGTCTCCTCTTATCAAGTTTTGACCCAAGAATTTTCAGAAAACATAGAGAGAGTAGCTGAGACTCTAACTGCCTTACAAGATCAAGTTGATTCCTTAGCCACAGTAGTACTACAGAATAGAAGGGGATTAGACTTACTAACAGCAGAAAGGTGGAATCTGTCTCTTCTTAGGAGAGGAATGTTGCTTTTACGCCAACCAGGTAGGCATTGTCAGGGATAAGGCAAAAGATCTAATAGAACGAGCAACAAAAAGAAGACAGGAGCTATCCGAGTCCTGGGCTATTTGCGGGGGGGAGAGGGGTCTGGAAATGGCTTCTCCCATTGGCAGGACCACTGTTAATGCTACTCATAGCTGTAACATTAGGACCATGTCTTCTAAATTTCTTAACTCGCTTTATCTCATCTCTCCTAGATGCCTTTAAACTTCAGATGGTCCTACAAACCCCTCCGAGAGGAAGAAACAGGATACTAACCCCTTGGTCATCACCCCTTATCAGCAGGAAGCAGCTAAGAGCGGTCGTTGTGCCTGTTCATCATAACATCCCATAGTCATTGTACCATAAGGCTAAGAGAAACTTGTGGGACAAGGCGGTGGTGGAGGGTGTGGGGGGGATGAGAAGGCTAAAAAGGTTAATTCCAATGTAACCCTGATATTTGGAGGGCTAGCAATCTGAATCTGTGCCAGCAAGCCCAGTGTACATGTTTGATAACTTGTAATTAAGTCATTGCCTCTTTCCCAGAAACTGGTCTTGGAGAACCTGTTATCTAAATGCTCACATTTCACAGAGGCCATAAACTGTGAACAGTGTACAGCCCCGGGGTGTGTGTGTGTGTGGGGGGGGTGTTATTAGTGCTGGCACCAGGCCAGACACATTAGATATGGCCTGGAGACTCCCAACACCTGGTGCCTTTTGGCAAAGCCCGCGAAAAGGACCAGAAGCATAGTCCATATTTGAAGGACAAAAACACCAGAAAGATATAAAAGAGAAGCTCCCTGCATATTACTTTGCTCAGACTTGGGAAGTTATTTCACTGAGTCTGCCGGCATAATAAACAGTGTAACTCCTTTTCTCTAAAGCATTGCTTGGTTTTTCTCTGGTCTTCTGCAACATGAGAGAAAATCATTGATCGGCTGCCTCCTGCATACCCCCATTGGGAGTTGAACCCACAACCCAGGCATGTGCCCTGACTGGGAATCAAACTGTGACCTCCTGGTTCACAGGTCAACATGCAACCACTGAGTCATGCAGCCTGGGCCAAAATGTAAGATTTTACATATTCAAATTAATTGTTGAAAATCAGAGGCTGAATCTAGGCAAGCCTTGTTGTTTATTAAACACTAGTGCCCTGGTGCATGGATTAGTGTGCATTGAAAGGAAATTAATTAGAAGGTGGCTGGTGGGGTGGGACTGGGTGAGACAGGCTGGACACGCCCTGGAGCCAACCTCCCTCGGTCCCTCCCCGGCCGGCCACACCTGGGGCAATGCCGTGGCTCGAAAGGCATCTGCAAAGTGAGCGGGGTCCCTCTAGCAAGTGGGGTCCCTCGGCCTGGCCTGCAGGGATCTGACCAAAACTGGCTCTCTGACATCCCCTGAGGGGTCCCGGATGGCAAGAGGGTGGTTCTCGGGTGATGCACTCTGGAATCGGGCTCCCTCCTCTCTGGTTCCAGATGCATCACCCAAGAACTGCTGCTGCCAAGTCACTGCAGCTTGGCAGCTCCTGTATTGAGCATCTGCCCCCTGGTGGTCAGGGAGCATCATAGCTACCAGTCGGACAGTCGCTTAGCCTTTTATATATATAGACTAGAGGCCCGGGGGCCCAAAAA